GATGCCGTGAAGAAGTGCCATCCCAGCTGGCGGCCTTGCAAGAGGGACGAGATGAGGACAAAAAGGTTGGACGGGCAGTACAAGTTGGTGGGGGAAGACACGTGGTCGCTGGTCAAGAGGTGGGAGAGAACAAGGTGCATGCTCCAAATGGAGGGGTGGTCGGACCGGCGGAACAAACCGCACCTGAACGTCATGGTGTCTTCCCCGATCGGAACTGTGTTTTGGAAGTCGGTGTGCATGGAGGGGAGGGAGAAGGACTTGAAAGCGTACTTCAAGCTGTTGGACGGGGTGATCCAGGAGATCGGCGCGGGGTTGTGTTGGACAATGCGAGGGTTTGCGCCAAAGCGGGGAAGATGGTGGAGGCCAAGTACCCCGGTATTTTCAGTGTGGGCTGCGCAGCCCGTGCCTTGGATCTGGCCCTGGAGGACATGTACAAGTGCATGGACTGGCTGAAGGTGGTCGTCGACAAGGGCAATCAAGTTGGCAAGTTTTTCACGAACGTCGACAAGGACCGCGCAATGTACAACCGGATCGCGAATGCACAACTGAAACGGCCGGCGGTCACAAGATTCGCAACGAACTTTGAGATGCTTCAGTCGCTGAAGGCGGGGAGGAATCCGTTGGAGCTGTGTGTCTGCAATGTCGCGTGGGTGGAGAAGTTGGTGAGGGCGGAGCAGGTGGCGGCATTCAACGCCGTCACCCACATTATCATGGACACGAACGGCTTCTGGAAGGTTGTGGATAAGGCCATTGCGGTGATGGAGCCAGTTGTCAAGCTCCTTCGTTTGGTGGACGGTCCAGAGGCAACAATGAGCAAAGTGTATTTCGGCATGGATGCGGTTCTGGCAAGAATGCGCACGCTGGACTGCCTGTCGGAGGCCGAGAAGGCGGATGTGGAGAAGATTTTGATGGACCGGTGGGCGTTCATGACATCAGAACTGGCCGCCTTCCTCGACCCCGAGTACAGGACGCACACCATGCGAGACACGGAGATTCGCGAGGGGTTCAACATTTGGCTTTGCTCGTGGGCGCCACCGGAGTTGCTGCAGGGAGAAATCAGCAGACAGGTGGACATGTGGGTGCAGGGATTGGGCACCTTGGGGTCGCAGAACGCAAGGGACCAGGCGAGTTCGAAGACTCCGGCGCTATGGTGGGAGGCGTTCGGGGGGTCTTTGGACCTCTTACCGCAGGCGATCAAACTCCTTGGGCAGGCAAGCTCGTCGGCTGCGTGCGAGCGAAACTGGAGCTTGCACCAGCTCATTTCGGCCAACGCCGCACGAAGATGTTGCCAGAGAGATTGAACAAGCTGGTGTACAACAATTGGAATATCCAATTGTCGACGCGAAGAGAGCGAGGGGACGGGGAAAACGTGCACATCCCGTGGAAGGACGATGAGCTGGCAAGCATGGAGGTGAATGAGTGGTACGACGAATGGGCTGCGACGGAGGTCCGTGCGGACGATTTCGATGATGCCCCGCTAGAGCGCACATGGCTGCAGAACAATGAGGAGGAGAACTTCACGGATGACGAAGACGATATCGCCGCACTTGGTTCGACGGAGAGAACATGGCACGCGAACACGAAGCCCGGGAAGCACCGGATGCGGGAGCTGCGCAGGAAGTCTGGTGTTCAAGAGCCCGAACCCGGGTTCGTGTACACATTGGAGGGTCGTGACCATGCAATGAAGGCACGTCAAACTGGCGAATGGGTGCAGGGGAGGGAGGAAGTGTCGGGGCGCGGGCGGCGCAAGAAAAAGGCAACGGCATCGGACGTTGCCGAGGAACAGCCGGTTCAGAAACGAAAGAGGAAGGTCGCGGAGGAGGATGCAGCACCAAAAAAGAAGAGAGGGCGGCCTCCGCTTTCGCCCGCGAAGAAGGCTGCAAATGCAGCAGCACGTGCAGAGGCCGCAAGGGCTGCGGCAGCCGAGGTGGGAAGGCCTTCGAGGAAGAGAACGGCCGAGGTGATCGAGGATGACGAAGAAAATCCGGGTCCCAGCCGGAAAAAGCAGTCTTCTTCATCCTCGTCATCGTCGTCCGAAGACAATTCACCGCGGGAGGAGGAGGAAACATCCCATCAATCGGACGATAGTGGAGAGGCGGACAACGATGAGTCGGATGCGGACAAGTCGCAGGCGGAGTCAGACGGGGAAGAACAGTCCGGGGGGGAGGAGGACGAGTAGACATTTGTGAATTAGTATAGTGAGGGTAGTGTGTCCTTGCGCGCTTTTGTGCTCCTGAAACAACAAACTTTGCAAACTCCGCTTTTGGGATACTGAGCCTAACAATTTTTTTTGTCTTGAATCTTGTGATGTTTCTTGTTTTCCGCCTGTGTTTGAAAAATGGGCATGCATCCTCTGATTCCTCTCTGATTGCACGCACAACGCTCAACCAGGTCAGTTACCGAATCCCAACACTGCCAACAGTGTGTGTTTGCAACTCTGCGTGTGTGTGTGTGTGTGTGTGTGTGTGTGTGTGTGTGTGTGTGTGTGTGTGTGTGTGTGTGTGTGTGTGCTCAAACGAAATGTCAAAGAAGAAGAAAAAAAAGAACAATCCTG